AACCTGGGAGATAACACATTTGATGTTCGAGATAAGTGGGAGCTGGAATTGAATGTTACTATTGATGATGGAGCATGGAAGGATATGTGTGGGATCAGCCATAAAGGCATCAATAGCAATTTGTGGAAAGAATTTGACTGGAAAAATAAAATTAGGTATTTCAGAACACCTCTGATAATTTCTAAATTTTACAAAAACATATCCCCGTTATGCTGGAAAAACTGTGGCAAAGTGGCTGATCACACACATATATTCTGGGACTGCCCGGTACTTGTTAAATATTGGCAGGATATTCAACTGGAGATAGAAAATATCTTGAATGTCAAAATCCCAATGGACCCAATGATTATTATTCTTGGAATTCCACCTGCAAATATTCATGGTAAAGACCACCGGTACATACTCCGCATCCTCTTGCTGATCGCACGGAAGATGATTACTGTCAATTGGAGGAAACCTTCTCCTCCAACGACGAAGGAATGGACACAGAGACTTAAGCAAGTTTACATAATGGAACAGCTGACCGAAAAACTTCAATTGAAAATGGACTTGTTTTCACAAAGATGGACCCCAGTGACACATTATTTGAAAATATGATTGTAAAACCCTCTGTCAAAGTTGTATTTAAACATGTCTACATTCACACCTGATTTAAATAAACTTAAAGTTCAAAAAAAAAAAAAAAAAAAAAACGGCATGTGGGGAATAAATGGCGTGTAAAGCGGCATGTGGACAATGAATGCCGTTTAAAACGGCATGTGGACAACAAGTGGCGTTTAAAAGGGCATGTGGGGAATAAATGGCGTGTAAAGCGGCATGTGGACAACAAGTGGCGTTTAAAGCGGCATGTGGACAATGAATGCCGTTTAAAACGGCATGTGGACAACAAGTGGCGTTTAAAAGGGCATGTGGGGAATAAATGGCGTGTAAAGCGGCATGTGGACAACAAGTGGCGTTTAAAACGGCATGTGGGGAATAAATGGCGTGTAAAGCGGCATGTGGGCAATAAATGGCGTTTACAACGGCATGTGGGGAATAAATGGCGTTTAAAACGGCATGTGGGCAACAAATACAGTTGAAAGCAGCCTGTACAAAAGACAACAAGCAGCAGTAGTGGAGCTAGTGGTCCAGTGGCTCAGATGGAAAGCACAGGTCTACGGTGTTGATGGTCGCTAGTTGAAATCCCCAGTGACTACCAATGACATTTGCTGGTGTTGGGTCCTTGGGCCTAACACTTCATGAAGAATGTCAGAAGTGCCATAAATTGTTTTCAAAAATGTTGTTTGAGTAATAATAATATATGTTATTGCATAAATTTGTTGAAAGACTTAATTTCATGTATTATATATAGTTTAAATTCCACATGTGTTGTGTCATCCAGTGGCGTACTTGATTTATAACTGCCTCTCATGCGGAAGATACCTGGTTCAAATCCAGGACAGGTCATTATTTTTTCTTTGTCAGATTAAATACAAATTTAATATGTATGACATTATATATATATATATATATATATATATATATATATATATATATCCTCTACCAGAGTCCTGGGAGCTTGAGGGTTCTGCGCAGTATCTTTGCTGTTCCTAGCACTGCACATTTCTGGACCGAGATGTCCGAGGTTGTTCCGGGGATCCGCTGTAACCACTCTTCTAGCTTCGGGGTCACTGCCCCGAGTGCACCGATCACCACGGGCACTACTGTCCCCTTTACCCTCCAGGCCCTCTCCAGCTCCTCTCTGAGACCTTGGTATTTCTCAAGCTTTTCCGGATGTTATCATCGCTTGGAATTGCCACGTCCACCACCACGGCTGTCCTCTGCCCTTTGTCTACCACCACAATGTCAGGTTGGTTCGCCCTTACCATTCGGTCGGTCTGTATGTATATATATATGTATATATATATATATATATATATATATATATATATATATAAATAAAACAAAAGAAAAAATCATTTTATTTCTCTCTCTTCTTCAGTAAAACCACATGGAACAATAAGAAAGAGCATTAATACATATATTTTTTTTGTAAAAGAATGCAAAGTATAAGACACAGCTTAAACGGTCCAAGAACAGAAATGAAGATTTTAACAATATAGAGATGAAACCTCATGTTCCAATTACACAACTTTCTGCTTGTATTTTTCAATCCATCACTCTTCACCATCTTTGGTTGGCTCCATTCTTGATGTAATGTCCTAAAACAACAATAGAATCTTTCGGTTTTTTCTTTGCCAAAACACAAAATAAGTGGCGCAGTCATTAAACATTTGTCTATAGTGCGTAAGATTGGCAGATCGAATCAAAGTACCGTTTTTTTTTTAATGGCAGTTATATAAAAACTGTATATATATATATATATATATATATATATATATATATATATATATATATATATAGATATATATATAGATATATATATGTATATATATATAGATATTTATAGATATATATATGTATAAAGAAATAACCGTCATAAAAAAGTTTTTGATCTTGGCTGGATTTGAATCTGCGAACTCTTGCGTGATTGGCGGACACACACCAGCTATACCACTCACCAGGTGGTTTTAAGTAAAATTGTGTCTTGAGAGTTTTACACATCATTTAGTTTTACCCTAACGATGATGCAATATTAATCCTAATGCAAGATTACTATTGGAACAACACATAACCATATGTATGAAATAAATATTCATATATATTCAATTTGTATTTAATCTGACAACAAAAAAATAAAAACCAGACCTGGAATTGAATCAGGTATCATTCGCATGACAGACAGTTATAAACCAAGTGCGCCACAGGAATATAAAGTTCTTCAGAATCTAAACCAGATATAATACATGAAATTAAGTCTTTCAACACATTTTAAATTAAATTTATTATAACTCAAACTACATTTTTCAAACAACTTATGGCACTTCTGACATTCTCCATTAAGTGTTATGCCCAAGGACCCAACATCAGCAAATGTCTTTGGTAGTTACTGGGGATTTGAACTAGCAACCATCAACACCGTAGACCTGTGCTTTTCCATCTGAGCCACTGGACCACAATCTCTACTACTGCTGCTTGTTGTATTTTGTACAGTCTGCTTTCAACTGTATTTGTTTTACACACCATTTATTCTCCACATGCCGTTTTAGACGCCATTTATTGCCCACATGCCGTTTTAAACGCCACTTGTTGTCCACATGCCGCTTTACACGCCATTTATTCCCCACATGCCATTTTAAACGCCACTTGTTGTCCACATGCCGCTTTAAACGGCACTTGTTGTCCACATGCCGTTTTAAACGCCACTTGTTGTCCACATGCCGCTTTACACGCCATTTATTCCCCACATGCCGTTTTAAACGCCATTTGTTGTCCACATGCCGCTTTACATGCCACTTGTTGTCCACATGCCGTATTAAACGGCACTTGTTGTCCACATGCCGCTTTACACGTCATTTATTCCCCACATGCCGTTTTAAACGCCACTTGTTGTCCACATGCCGCTTTACACGCCATTTATTGTCCATATTCCGTTTTAAATGCCATTTATTGTCCAGATGCCGTTTTAAACGCCATTTATTGCCCACATGCCGTTTTAAACGGCATTTGTTCCCCACATGCCGTTTTAAACGCCACTTGTCCACATGCCGTTTTAAACGCCACTTGTTGTCCACATGCCGCTTTACACGCCATGTATTCCCCTCATGCCGTTTTAAACGGCACTTGTTGTCCACATGCCGCTTTACACGCCATTTATTCCCCACATGCCGTTTTAAACGCCACTTGTTGTCCACATGCCGCTTTACACGCCATTTATTCCCCACATGCCGTTTTAAACGCCACTTGTTGTCCACATACCGCTTTACACGCCACTTGTTGTCCACATGCCGTTTTAAACGACACTTGTTGTCCACATGCCGCTTTACACGCCATTTATTCCCCACATGCCGTTTTAAACGCCACTTGTTGTCCACATGTCGCTTTACACGCCACTTGTTGTCCACATGCCATTTTAAACGCCACTTGTTGTCCACATGCCGCTTTACACGCCACTTGTTGTCCACATGCCGTTTTAAACGGTATTTGTTCCCCACATGCCGTTTTAAACGCCACTTGTCCACATGCCGTTTTAAACGCCACTTGTTGTCCACATGCCGCTTTACACACCATGTATTCCCCTCATGCCGTTTTAAACGGCACTTGTTGTCCACATGCCGCTTTACACGCCATTTATTCCCCACATGCCGTTTAAACGCCACTTGTTGTCCACATGCCGCTTTACACGCCATTTATTCCCCACATGCCGTTTTAAACGCCACTTGTTGTCCACATACCGCTTTACACGCCACTTGTTGTCCACATGCCGTTTTAAACGACACTTGTTGTCCACATGCCGCTTTACACGCCATTTATTCCCCACATGCCGTTTTAAACGCCACTTGTTGTCCACATGTCGCTTTACACGCCACTTGTTGTCCACATGCCGCTTTACACGCCACTTGTGGTCCACATGCCGTTTTAAATGCCATTTATTCCCCACATGTCGTTTTAAACGCCATTTATTCCCCACGTGCCGTTTTAAACGCCACTTGTTGTCCACATGCCGTTTTAAACGCCATTTGTTGTGTACATGCCACTGATCAGCTGTGGCAGGTGCCGGTGCCACAAAAGGAGCCTGCCCTTTCTCCTCCAGGGCGGGGCCCCGGCTGCGCCATGCCGGGCGACGTCACTGATGTCATATTTGTGCTGTCCATGGTGTCTTCTGGACTGCTCTTTGTCTGACTCGTCACCTGAGACCTGTCTGCCATGGGAGGCCCTACCAGGGGCATGAAGCCCCAGACAGCATAGCTGCCAGGATCATCCGAGTACTCAAACTCCCCCACCACGTTAAGGTGGCAGTCCAGGGGGGAGATAACATTACTCTGTTTAATTAATTGCAGCTGTGCCAGGTATAGACAAAAAACTGTTCTAATGTATGAAATCATGGTGTGTTTTTTTAGGTAAGAGGATGTTCCAGTGGGAGAGAAACCAGTCTGGTGAATGGGAGCGAAAACGAGTCCTGGATCATGAAACACATAACTTAGACTTGGCTTCATACAATGATTCACCGGTTTATGAAGAATATACAGAAACCTCCCCAGGAGACACTGATGGCCTGTATGACACATTGCCCCCGACACGTCCCGCCTACGAGGGGTACCCCTCCAGCCCTCCAGGTCTCAACCTACACCCGGCCCAGCTCCTGCCCCCTCTCAGGGCCTGGGACCTGCAGACTGAGCAGTGGAGGCAGAGCTCACAGGAGGAGGAGGTGGAGGTCACCGCTGCCACGCTGACGGGAACAGGGGATGAACTAGAAAAGCTTCTAAACCTGGTGTCGCTGCGCGCCAGGCGGGCCACCCGAATAAACCGCGCCTCCACTGGATCAGAGCCGAGCAGTGGGTGGGACTCCTACCACTAAGCGCCTCTGTTATCTAAGACTTAATTATTCCTATGAAATAAAACAGGCAGTGACCCCAAATTTATTACACTTGACATTAATCATACGCCACTATGTGAAAATGATTAAAACCTTTTCAGTGACTTTTCATTATGCTTAATTACCCTAGTTTAATCAAGCACTAATCCAGCGCAGATCCGAGGACAATATCTGCCATAGATGCTATCGTCCTTTGCAGCTTGGCTGATAGATGAATAGTCATGAAAAACATGTTGATGCCTTTGCAATGATCATTCATAGTAAATCACTATACATCTTTTTTTTTTAATATACACTTTTTTGTAATTCTAAAAGTGTGTTTTACAAAGGATTTTGAAATGGGACCTCCCACATCCACAAACTGTTAAGTCCATTTTGTTATAAATCAAACAAAGTCATATTGCTCTAGTTGAAGGTGGCTCATTGAGGAAATATGTGTGAAATATGTGATTCATTGATTCATTTTTATGTATTGCTATTTTCATGTTGAGCAACAGCCAATTTTCAATGAAATAATAATGCTGTAGATTGTATTTTATTGTCTAGCTTGAATATCTTGGTAATTTATCATGCAGTTGGAACCCTTTGTATTTATTGACTAAAACTGTGCTGTTTTACTGAAGTGTATACCAGATGTACAATATTTTCAAGTAAATGTTTGATGCAATGTTGTTCTTCTTTCTGTCAGACACATTTAAAATGTAACAGCTGGTGACATTCACATCTGGTCCGGTTTACAGATTGGTGGAAACAAATTGACCATCTGCTGAAAGTACATGTGCTGGTTTCTTTGGCTCATTACACTCCAGTTACATTGGATCTAAAGCATAATTCAACTAGCGTATTTTCATTTTAATACAGAAAGAGTGTCACAGTATCAGCTGATAATGTCTTTAGTTGAATATTTTGTCTCAATACAACCACATAAATAGTTATTTCTTTATATTTTTGAAAAATTGAATATAGAACCGAAAAAGTGGCTTGCAAAAGTATTCATCCTGGATGAGTTACGTTATACAGAGCTGCCTTTTCCTACAGTTTCTCGTGTGTATGTTTGTGTGTGAATGTGAGTGTGTGTGTGTGTGTGCTATCATGTGCTGCATGTACGCTCCAAAAACATTATATATTAAATATTATCAAACCATTAGCATAGTATGGCAGTTATCTTTAGTTTCAGTCAGAGGACTAATACTGTGGATCGTGTGCCCACATGATGAGTCCAGAGGAACTCTACTCAAGTTTCCTATGCCATTTGTCATCAGGAAACTTTTTGGCAATTAGTTGTACTAACAAAGATGGGAGCTGAACATGCTTGCTCTTCCAAGTCATTATTCTTTCACTTCCAAATTGTTTGCCCTTTTTGTGTTGGTATTTCACAAAAAATAATGCTTTCTAACAAAACAAGAAAGGTGATAAAAAAGTTCATGCTTCATACTTTTGCACATGTGGTCCCTAATTGCTGCCTCAATTGTTGTGACTTCACTGATTATGTCAGGTTTACGTCTTCAAAGAACCAGTGATTGACCTCTGTCATTATAGCTCATGGTTGGACTTTTTCAGAGCTATTTATCTGGTAAGAAAAAAAAAAAAGTTTTGTGTCAACTTAGTTGTAAACTTGAAGGAGGTTAAATAAAACTTGCATCTAAAGTGAAATCTCACAACTTTATGATTTATGTTCTATATATTTTAATAGTAATGGATGCCTAATTATACATACAATTGGGTTTATTTTTGACTGAATATGTAGAAAATAATTCCACCTGCAGTACTGACTATGCGCTCTAGTTTATTTTATTTCTGGATTGACTGTATTCCAATATGACTCTCTATACCTCCATCCTCAAGCTAATCATGTAAACATGCCAGGTTATAGCCAAAGGCTTATTTCCATTTGTTGTCGGAAAGGCTTATATATGTCCCTGTTCCCACTTGTCCTTTACGTGTGATCCACACTATTGCTGCTGGAGTCGTGTGAACGCAGCCGTGGCATGCCGGCGCTCCAGTGTGAATGCACAAATGTTAGTTTTGCCCCATTGATAGCCATGATATGCCTCTACTCATCCATGTTAACCAACAGGATTAAACCTGCAACATGTCATGTTAAAAATATTCTGTGATTATGAGTATACATGAGTATATGCGAGTAGGATGCATAATGTGTTAATAGAATAGACATCCTCGTCCGTAAAGGTCAAAGTCACCCAACTCTGTGATATTTGGTCGGAGCACTTCACTGTGGAATATGATATGATATGAACTGTCACATTTATGTGGTTTCTACCTTTCATTGCACTTCACAAACACATTTGCACACCCGTCTGACACTGGGGCGAGGCGAGTTAAATGTCTTGCCCAAAGACACACAGCAGTGTTCACCAATCATAGCTGGTTTCACACCTGCCAACTTGCGGGTTGGTTGATCTACCTGCTCAACCACTGATTTTTATGTCAGGAACAGGATTAAAACCTCTCACCTTCCACTCAGGACAGGTGAGAGGTTTGAAGGTTGATTCCCAGCTGCCTTCTTTTAACTTTGCAAGGTCAAAAATCCAGTTAGTTTCATTGTAGTAATTGATTCCCACTAAAAGTTTATATACTATCCTGTTTTCCACTTGACCTGTGTCTGCTTTGAGGACAGCAGAATAAAAACACATAACATAACGTGTGAACATAAGGTAAAACAAAAGGTGTTTCACACTGCAGACCCATGGTTTATGACCAGTATGGAAATGTTGTGTGGACCCAGCACAGTGGAAAATGTGGTGTGTTGTTAGAACCCGGATTTTTACCACAGGGAAGACCAGAACGTGTCGAAATAAATCAATATAAATCTAATTGTACATAACCCAGGATGATGGGAAAAACCTGTGTGACTATTGATAAAGCCCATCAAGGTTTTCAAGAAAAATAAATTTAATTGGTTAAACAAAAAAGCACATAAGTGAATAGTACATTGTTATTTTGTGTAATTAAATCCCATAACCTCACCCAGTTCCTCTTCATGAACTGGTGGTGGTTTATGTCTCCTTAGTGACATAAAAGAGCATAATCCTTAATATTTTTTCTCTTCACTGCAGACTGTAATCTGGCAGATTCATGTTCTGAAGTCAAGGCTCTTCAAAAGAAATCCCCGCTTTTACAGAATTTACAGTATCACTTTACTTTGACAGAAGTTTTACTTTGTTACGGTTTTAAGTATACGGCCTGTGTTATTTTAAATCAAGTTGTTTATAGATCAATCCACGTTAACCCTTTTAAAACCTCTTCAAACAATTTACCTTATTATGTTTTGGATTTTCTGAGATTAAATAATTTACAGTTGGTAATATTTGAATTATATATATATATATATATATATATATATATATATATATATATATATATATATATATATATATATATATATACAACTTTAATTTGTATTATTATTATTACTGTCTATTATTTTTGTTGTTGTTGTTATAATTATTTTATTTTATTTTTTATTTTTTTTACTGTATCTACTCTGCTATCCTGTGTTTTTTGGATATGATCATGAGGACCCCCCACGAAAACGAGATGATACATCTCATGGGGTTTATCCTCCAATAAAATGTCCATAAATAAATAAATTAATAAAAGTATATATATATTTGAAATCAACTCCTCCCTCTGGTGGTAGTAGATTTAAATGTCTCCTTTGTGAGATCAATAAAGTATATCTTATCTTATCTTATGGAGTTAGAGGCAGAAAGCATTGGCCTCCTGTGAAGGAGTAGTCCCCACTCCTCACCCACAGGTGTATCCTTACTGTTTTATTTTGAAATATTTAGCTTTGTTCATTTTTCCTGTCCCTAACTTGTCCCTTCTCTTTTCTTGGAAGGTGATTGGTGGAAGTGCTGGGCTGGAGGCGCGCCCATCCCAGTACATGCCAGGTGCACCCAACTGAGCAATCAGCTGGGCTCCACCATGATCCTCCAAGAGAGGGGTGTTTCATTTGGACTAAACAAAATGTATACATTCCACAAATACCACACCTGTTAAAAAACACCGCCACTAATTTCAAATTACTATAAATTATGATTATAATATATCTGCATAAATTAAAGATGTAAATAGTTATAAATATTTTGTAAATAGTGTAGGCCTACATTGTTGTGTCCCTGGGTGGGTGGAGGTTTTGGTTTGGGCCACTGTATAAAAAGAGGAAGATTCCATTTGAACGGGGTGTTCCTGTTGTGTGCCTGGGGGGATGCTGCCCAAATAAATAAGACAGCTTTTGTGTAAATCTGCAACATTTGGACCTTTGTTTGTTTCCCGTCCTGGTGAGAGGCTGTCCCAGTAGCTCAAACGCTACACTTGGTGTCAGAAGTGGGATCGTCGTGCCAATCTGCTGAGACTCACAGGACGAGGATGGGGCCGAAAAAGGTACCAAAACCAGCAGAAGCGGGAATCACACCAGATGGTGATTCTGAAGGGGGCGGAGCTGCAGGAGGAGAGCCCGCCAAGGCAGAGATACTTATGGGTGCCGACGTAGAAACCCTAGTTTGCATGTTGCAAAAATGCCTTAAGTTCCAGTCTGACCTGAGCAAGCGTTGGAATGAAGAAACGCAGAAGCAGGAGGAACGATGGCAGGAGATGCGAGGCGTGGTCCTCAACACCCCCATGTACAGCGACAGGAAGAATCGGAGCCCCAATCTCCCACACTATGGGAGCATTTGGGGAGAGGCTGGGCCCAGTCAGTGATTCCAAAGCTGGAGGACAGTGATGACATTGAGCCATATCTCACCACTTTTGAACGCCTAGCGACCGCATATCAATGGCCAGGGGTCGAGTGGGCAGTGAGGCTTGTCCCATATCTGACTGGAAGGGCCCGGGCAGCCTATGACGCCATGGATTGCGAGGAATCCTGCATCTACAAGAAGGTGAAGGAGGCCATTTCTGATGAAGTACGAAATAAATGAAGATGTTTATCGCCAGCGGTTCCGTGAGCCAGACCTGCAGCCGGGAGAAACGCCAAGAGTTTTATAATCGCCTCAAAGACTTGTACTTGAAGTGGATGCAGCCGGAGAAGAAGACGAAGGAGCAGCTTGGTGAAGCCCTAGTCTTGGAACAGTTCTACCGTTCACTATCACCAGAGCTGAGGGTCTGGGTGAAGGAGCGCAATCCCACCTCTGGGCGTGAAGCAGCAGAGTTGGTGGAGAACTTTCTATCTGCTAGGCGTGGGCCAAAGATCTTCAGGCTTGAACGAATGTCCAGGAGCAGCGCATCGGAGGGTCACAAAGAATGGCAAAAGGAGGGCCTGGGGTAGACCGTGAGACTGTGCAGCTGCGGCCAGGAGGTCGTGTCTTCCGAAGGGGGAGGAAATGTGAAGGAGTAGTCCCCACTCCTCACCCACAGGTGTATCCTTACAGTTTTATTTTGAAATATTTAGCTTTGTTTATTTTTCCTGTCCCTAACTTGTCCCTTCTCTTTTCTTGGAAGGTGATTGGTGGAGGTGCTGGGCTGGAGGCGCGCCCATCCCAGTACATGCCAGGTGCACCCAACTGAGCAATCAGCTGGGCTCCACCATGATCCTCCAAGAGAGGGGTGTTTCATTTGGACTAAACAAAATGTATACATTCCACAAATACCACACCTGTTAAAAAATACCGCCACTAATTTCAAATTACTATAAATTATGATTATAATATATCTACATAAATTAAAGATGTAAATAGTTATAAATATTTTGTAAATAGTGTAGGCCTACATTGTTGTGTCCCTGGGCGGGTGGAGGTTTTGGTTTGGGCCACTGTATAAAAAGAGGATTCAATTTGAACGGGGTGTTCCTGTTGTGTGCATGGGGGGATGCTGCCCAAATAAATAAGACAGCTTTTGTGCAAATCCCTTCCCCCATTACTCCAGGCTACAGTCAGGCCTGTACTGGGGGTTCCTCAACCACCTCTGTCTCCACCAAAGACTCCCTCATCACCTTCCATGGACCCGGCTTGGGTCCCCCCCGCTACATCCACTCCATCTAGGGAAAATGAGGACGACCTTTCCCTTTGTTTTCTATCCCCGCCTTCACTACTGGATTTACCGGAACACTCTGCAGGCATGATAAGATCGGCGATGAAGACTATTCCTCTCACACCCACTGTAGCCAGATCAAGAGTCCTATCTAACATTCAAAACTACTCCCCATACGTACCTCCAAAGCCACCTAGGGCGTCCAACTCAAATTCTCCCACAAAATCCACCCGTCCCTCCTCTAACCCCATAAGTATTCCACCCCCCCCTCCTGCAGCACCAAGAAACCCTCCACCTCCACTCCCCCCTCGTCCACCACCCAACTCAGCCTGCCCCTCCCCTAACCCATCACCAAAAACCCATCCACCTTCAACCCCTCCCCGTCCAACTCCCAAGAACCACCCGCCTCTCCATCCTCCTCCCCCGCCTTCCCCTACCCCTCTTTTCTCTAAACACTAGGATGCACAGGGTCTCTGCTTCGCAGCCACTGGCAGTCTAGTTAGAGGAGAGACCCGGCTGGGGCCCTGTCATGAAGCCACCTGTGCCATTCCCTTAGTGATAACACAAAGAATACATAACAGAAAAACATCTGAAGTTAATCAGTCTAATCTGGAAAATCTAATTCTTGTTCCGTGTAAGAATCAGCCGACCACAACCGCTGACACTGAAACTTTGAAACTTGCTATGCTAAATGTCAGATCTCTTTGTAACAAGTCTTTTTTAATCAATAATTTTATTTGTTCTTATAATCTAGATCTTATGTTCATGGCTGAAACATGGCTTGACCAAAATACAGAAAATGCAGTTTTAATAGAAGCATCACCACCAAATTTCAAATTTGAATCTGAAATACGGGAAAACAAAAAAGGAGGAGGCTTAGCTGCCATTTTCAGAGACCACTTTGTCTCCCATAGAATGTCTCTTGGGAAGTTTCCGTCTTTTGAATATGTGTCTTTTAAAATGCAACAAAAACAATCTCCTCCAATACTTTTCGTTGTCCTATACAAGCCACCGCAGTCATGTCACAGTTTTATTGATAATTTTACAGAGTTGCTTTCAGTTGTATGCACAGATTTTGATAGTTTAGTTATTACAGGTGATTTTAATATTCATGTGGATAATGTTGATGACAGAAATGCTAAAGAGCTGAGTTCTCTTCTTGAATCTTTTGGTCTCACTCAGCATGTGAGTGGCCCCACCCACAGCAGAGGGCACACTCTAGACCTGTTAGTTACAAAGGGGGCGAACATTTATAATGTAAACGTGGTCGATGTTGCGCTTTCGGATCATTTTTGTATATTTTTTGACATGTGTTTCACTAACAAACCACCAGTGGACTCTGCAACTGTACGAAGAAGACACATAAATGAAAATACGGGTGAACTATTTATGGGAATGATAAACTTTGAGAATGCATCGTATTCTACTGTAGATGAACTGTTTAACTCTGTCACCTCTAGTGTTTTGAAAGTTCTGGACACCATCGCTCCTGTGAAGGTTAAAATAGTGAAAAATAAGCAGAAGGCGCCGTGGGCTAAAGCAGACTCGGTCAGGGCACAAAAGAGAGAGTGCCGGAGGGCCGAGCGGAAGTGGCGCAAGTCCAACCTCCAGGTTGATTACGAGATCTTCAAAGATAAGTTGTGCGATTTTAACCAGGTGCTACGTAGTACGAGAGAAAGGTATTTTTCTGAAATGATTGAAGGCTGCAGCAACAATCTGCGTGTTCTGTTTTCAACAGTTAATAGATTAATAAACCCCCCTGTTCAAATGCCATTAGAGCTAACTTCCAAACGTAAATGTAATGAGTTTGCACATTTTTTCAATGACAAGGTTCAAGGCATCAAAAACGCCATTGTCTCCAATCCACAGATAACAATCCAACAGCCAGAAAGGCTCTTTGAGCTAACTTACTTTGCACCTGTAGATGATAAAAATGTCCAAGAAATAATCTCCAGTTTGAGCTCCTCCACATGCAGCCTGGATGTACTACCCACTAGATTTCTAAAGTCTGTTCTGAGCAGTCTGTTACCTTCACTCACACAGATAGTAAACATGTCCCTTGATTCTGGAATATTCCCAAAGGCCCTGAAAACTGCAGTCATCAGGCCCCTGCTAAAAAAGAGCAGTCTGGATGCTACGGTACTTAACAACTATCGTCCCATCTCAAATCTGCCATTTATGGGGAAAGTCCTTGAGAATGTTGTCTACCTACAGCTTACTAGATTTCTTATAATCAACAACTCATTTGATATGTTTCAGTCCGGCTTTAGACCCCACCACAGCACTGAGACTGCTCTCGTCAAGGTTACAAATGATATCCGGCTGAACACTGACGCAGGCAAAGTCTCAATCCTAATCCTGTTAGATCTAAGTGCTGCCTTTGACACTGTCGACCATGAGATCCTCTTACAGAGACTAGAGGACTGGGTTGGCGTCGCTGGCACCGCCCTAAGTTGGTTTAGGTCTTACCTTGAAGACAGGAAGTACTTTGTGGAGATTGGAAACTGTGTCTCAGATCATATGGCCCTGACCTGTGGAGTCCCACAGGGGTCGATCCTGGGACCTCTTCTGTTCAATCTCTACATGCTGCCGTTAGGTCAGTTAATACGCAGAAACAAAGTTTCCTATCATAACTATGCAGACGACACTCAGATCTATGTCTCACTGACTGCAGGAGAACATGGACCAGTGGACTCACTCCTTCACTGTATCCAACAGATCAGTGAGTGGATGCAAAACAACTTCCTTCAGCTAAACGCAGACAAAACTGAAATGATTGTCTTTGGTCCCCAGAAACAAAGAGAGAGCGTCATCTGTCACCTACAGTCTCTCTCCCTAAAACCTTCAAACAAGGTCAGAAATCTAGGGGTAATACTGGACTCAGACTTAAATTTTAATAGCCACATCAAATCAGTAACATCAGCAGCTTTTTACCATCTAAAAAACATTGCCAGGATCAAAAACATAGTGTCTAAAGCAGACCTGGAGATTCTTATCCATGCATTTGTCTCCAGTAGGTTAGACTACTGCAATGGCCTGCTCACAGGTCTGTCCAAACAGGCTGTAAAACAGCTGCAGTACATTCAAAATGCAGCAGCTCGAGTCCTGACTAGAACCAGGAAGTACGACCATATTAGTCCGGTCCTCAGGTCTCTGCACTGGCTTCCTGTGGCTCAGAGAATAGACTTTAAAACAGCTTTGCTTGTGTACAAGTCTCTCCATGGCCTCGCACCAAAATATATTAGTGACATGTTAGTCCCATATGAACCAGCCCGGACTCTGAGGAGCACAGGGACTGGACTCCTGTTAGTGCCCAGAGTCAGAACTAAACATGGGGAGGCTGCTTTTCAGATCCATGCTGCTAAAATCTGGAACAATCTTCCTGAAGATGTGAGACAGGCCTCCTCTCTGACAATGTTTAAAACCAGGTTAAAAACGGTGCTGTTTAGCTGTGCATACAACTGAGGGATTTTATATTTTTATCTTTCGTTTTAATGTTCTGTAATTATTTATGATTTTAATGCTATCTTGTTCAGCACTTTGAGTTGCCTTGTGTATGAATTGTGCTATACAAATAAACTTGCCTTGCCTTGCCTTGCCTTGCCAAATCTGCAACATTTGGACCTTTGTTTCCCGTCCTGGTGAGAGGCTGTCCCAGTAGCTCAAACGCTACACCTCCATACTCTGGCATTGTCAGTGATTAGTCTCATAATCATTGTGATGACAAAAAATGCACGTTATGTATATTTAAATGCTTAGTATTGGCAATTAGCTTGGACTTCTATTCTAAGCAAGCTAGGACATTTGTGTGGTGATAGCACGTTCTCCCACTTTGTGTAGGTTTGTTCCGGGTGCTCTGGTTTCCCCTATCACTAAAAACATTTACAATGAGTGAGGGTTGAATGAACGTGTGACTGGGGGACTACAGAAGGAAATTAGCTACATAGGGAAAATATATATGTTTTTCATGAAACCAGAATGGATGAGTCTTCATGAACAACAATAAGAATCCTTGACAACATTGTCTCTAAATATTGTTGCGCCTTGTTGTGAACCAGGAACTGAGATAAATAGACATGAAATAGACCAGAGTAAACACATATCAACCACAGATATCAAACGCTTGAAGTCAGTGTTGATATGTGCGGCTCAAGGATTCACACATCCCAACGCTGACATAACTCTGATACATGTTGGAACAGATTTCCCATCTATCTGCTGACCTTACTGCCAACAGATCGACAGAAAGTATGTGCTATTGGAATCAAGAGTTGAAGATTAGTTAAAAACTTGCTCTTT